GCTGAATCCCAGCCCTGCTTTAGTGTCTTATGCCAGTGTCAATGGAATACTGTGCAGGATGCAATAAACATTTGCATTAATCCTATCATTTACAGCCCACGCTTTTTGGTCTTATCGATGTACCTTACGCCAGGCCAGGCCACCGAACAAGAATTGGCTCTCAGTCTTGAAATCAGAATAAAAATGACCTGTTCCTTCCTAAAGCTCTCTGCATGAGGCAGGACGAGAAGGTCTCATTCAAAGTGGACAGTCTCCAGTTTGGATTCTTCCCCACCTGAGGTCAGCTGTGTGGTCCTACCCCCTTATTAGTCCAGTGGGAATGTAACTCTTGACTGAATAAAGGTTGCCCAGTCCAGTAGCTCATCTATATCGGTTCCTCTTAGTCTGGCAGACAATGGGTTCTCAACTCCATCCAAATTCTTAATCTCAGACTTTTTGCAAATCGGTTGATGTTCCAGCATTCGGTGATGGTCTTTTCACAGAGAAAAACCTAAATTAATTATCCCAAATGCAATTGGTTGACTGGATATCTATCCTTCGTGATTGTTCTATCGTCATCTTTACAAAGGTCTTTTCAGCCCGTTGGCCTTGGTGCTCTCTGAGCTTGGTTGATGTGTTTTTTCCCCCCAGATGATTCATTACCCAAACTAGGAAATAACATCAGTGCTGGAACCAAATTCCACTCTCTTCTAGCACTGATGACATTACCTAAATGGTAGAAGGTTTCCTGCTCAAGCAAGGGGTTGGATTAGAAGAACTCCAAGGTTCCCTTCCTATTCCGTCATTCCGTCAAAACGCTAAGCCTTCAGTTGGGTAATGAAACCTCTGCAAGAAAACCAACCAAGCCCAGAGAAGCATCAAGAATCCCTCATTTCACCCCTGAGCCACATATATTCTTCTTTATGTGTCCTTTTGGACAGGATCCAAAAGCGATTGGGTCTCCAAATCTTAGATATCTTAGAAAGATTCCTATCAATCTCTTCCCATTTCGATCTTCTCGGCCGTTCCTTTAATTTGACGTTCATAATCCTTAGCTGAGCAAATTCTGCTACAGGGGCTGCAGTTAGGCACATCTCTGTTGTAGCTATCCCCAAGCAACCAGCCCATCAGCCTCTTCTTCCTTCCTAGGAAAGTCCTCCTTTTACTTTTCACCAATTGCAGACCAGATCAAATGTTGAGCAAAGTGCCAAATCTGTACTAATGTGAGAAATGATGTCTGTTTCATTATTATTATTTTTTTTTCTCATTGGTTGTCTTGATTGTCCTCCTTTCATCTTGTCTTCAGTCTTAAATTAGGGAAGCATTGTGTCTTCTTAGACAATCCCTTGAAGAAGTTCCATTGCCAGCACATGATAAGGTTAGTTCCTGTTCCTTTTTAAAAAAAAAAAAAACTTGAAATGATTCTCAGGTGAATCAAATCTATAGAGAGACAGGCAAATGGATTTGTGTGTGTGTGTGTGTGTGTGTGTGTGTGTGTGTGTGTGTGAATGGGTTGTGTATCAGTGGTTTGAGGGAGGGGTCTTCAAATGTTTTAAACAGGGGCCAATTCACGGTCCCACCGACTGGTGGGGAGGCGGTACCGACTGGGTGGGCGTGGCTAGGTGGTCATGTGACTGGATGGGTCAGCTGGTCCTCCCCAGCACCCTTCGGCCTTACCTTCAGCAGCAGCGGTGTGATCAGAAGTGCAGCTCAACCAGTGAAATAACTAACCAGAAGTGCAGCTGGAGTGGATGCTCGCTGGAAGAGAAGGCTGACGGTGAGGGGCGAGGGACGGGCTGAATCCCACCACTTTGTGGGTCAAATACTTTGCACGGGTGGGCCGTATCCGGCTTGCGCGCCATAGTTTGAAGATCGGTGGTTTAAGGGGAACAATTACCAAGCGATTGTGAGAGCAAAATTGAATAACTCGGTTGTATTCACAAAAAGTTTGAGTATGTATAGTATCTGCAAATAGGTAGGTATAGAAACATAGATTTTTTTCCCCAGAGGAACAGAAAAGGAAGACGCAGTAATTAGATGACTGGAATGAAAAGAAAAGGATTAGCCAAAACTTTCTGTCCAAAGTTACATCTTGAATAGGAGGGGAGCCGAGTCTATATCTTAATGTCACCCCCATAACGTTTTGTGTGATCTGTAGAAATCTCATGGACCCTGTGTGTGATTCACCTAGCACAAGGGTGTCAAACTCAATTTCATTGAGGGGCACATCAGGGTTGTGTTTGACCTCGGGGGTGGGGGGTAGCCAGGGGGGCATGGCCAGCTCAATGTCACTTCTGTAGGGGGCGAGTGACACTTCTTCTTGACACTGACAGTGAAAATGGGCTCCTGACCTCCGTTTTCAGCGGCGATGGCTTCCTGCAGCCCTCTGCCAGCAAAGACAGAGTTTGGGAGGGCTCCGTTTTCACTGGCCGGTCCTTTGCTGCCTCCAGGGCAACCCTGTGGGCCAGATCTAAGCACCCCATGGGCCGAATCTGGCCCCCAGGCCTTGAGTTTGACACCCCTGACCTTTAATCTGTTCTTCTTGCTTTCCTCGTGTTGTGATAAGTGCAAAAGCTGAAGCTTTCGACCTGTTTTCTGTGGTGTGAAATATGGCTTTGAAGAAACGTACGTAGGAGATGCCTTCATTTCACTGGCTACTTTTTTTGGTGTGGTTTCCGGGAACTTCTATTCATCCAGAGTAAATTGATTCACAAACCAACCCAGTCTAAGTGTTGGCATTTCAGACACGTGTTGGGATGTACCTTCTGCTCAAAAGCCCCTACTAGCAAGATTTCCTGCCCTTAATCCAATATCGAAGGAAATCTGGTTGCATAACCCTAAATTTTTGGTGACCCTGATTGAGAGACAATTGACCGCCAAAGTCCGTTGCCTGGGCTTGTGTAAACTTTGGCTGTCTGTTGGGGTGAAGATGGAAGGAAGACTTTGAACAAGTGGGTTTAATGTTCTCTTGTTTTCTTTTCTTTTTTCCCTTCTCTTTCTCTCCTCTCCTTTCTCTCTCTCTCAAGATTAGTTTTGAAGCACTTTGATGACCATAGATTTAGGGATCGTAACTGGCTTTGGCCAATCTTGTAAACAAAACCGCTAATAGAAGTAGAGAAGGTGTGTGTGTGAGAGAGAGACAGAGACAAAGAGAGACAGAGAGAGACAGAGAGAATGAATTTCAGAGGTTGAAGACAACTGCAAAATACTTACAAAGTTATGAAAATCTAACCGATAAAATAACAAAATATATTAAGAGCAGTCAATGTGTGGCAAGGAGAAAAAAGATATTGCAC